TTTTTGGCCAGGGTTAGCGAAATCGAAAAATGTGTTAAAATGCTTGAAAAAAGGCAAAAATAATGTCACTTACGCAGAATTTTTGGTGCGATTAGGGTTAAAAACCTCCACAAAAAAACAAGGATTACATCATTTTTAACCTAACTTAAAAAATTTTGCAACAATGGCTGAAAAGGTGATAAAACGCTCAAAAAAAAAACAAATAATGTCATTTTCGACCCAATTTAGTGTCCAGTGTAGTAAAATCTCGCAAAAAAACTGTTCTTACATTACAGAAAAAAGAATTTAGACGTAACTTAGCGGTTTTTCGGCATATTTTTGTAAAAATTGCATTTCTGGCTAAAAAAAAACTGCTAAAACTTACTTTTGGTTATTTTGTCTAATTTAACTGTTTTTTTTTTCAGAAAAATCTCATTTTTTATCATTAAAACTTATTATAATTTTTTTTATAGAATAACTATTTTCAATATATAGCTTCAACTTTTTTGAAAACGCAACAATTTACGTTAACTTCAAAATCGATAATTAACACTGAAAATTATATTTTTCAGGAAACATTTTTACACAAAAATTTGTAGAAAAAAAAATACCTAAAAACAAAAATATTTGTTCCCTTTCTAGATTCTGTTAAATGCTATAAAAATATGTTTTTTTTTATAGATTTCTGTTAAAACGTTTTCAAATTATTATTTTTTTTCTGCAAAATCAATCAAATTCTTCTAGACTCGTACGGAGTGGTAATAGAAAAGTAGGATTTTGAACATCGGTAAACAAAGCCTTGCTCTATCCTTTGATTTTCAAATCTATTGGTTTTTAACTTTTTCTTTACTTCAATCAAAATAAGAGGCCAGTCTGAGCCTTGCCTTAACTTTTAATCAGCATTACCAAAACTCCACTAACTGTACCTGACATCTTCTCACCTCCATCAATTATCATGAAAAAATCGCATCCGTTAGTTGAAAGCAAAACTCGCTAGCACAATAACACCAAATCAGATATTTTATTGCAAAATAAAAGCTTTGGAAGATATACGATGGCCGCGGGAAGTGTATAGCGTGCGAAACATGCTCAAAACCAGCTGTTTATTGCTCTTTAGACACCCACAACTYTCGAAAAATCCTGTAATTGGAGGTTCAAGACAAAACAAGAGCAGTTTTGCAATATTGATTTGTTATAGACTTTATTTCGCAATGATGACTTAACAAAACGAAAGCCTTGGCGGATTGATGAATTATTGTACAATTTTGATTGGGTTTGATGATGCGGCCTTTCGAAAATTAAGGTCAGGTGTGAGTGGAGTGACCGAAAATTTTTAATTGTGGCGCAAAGACAAGCCTTCAAAAGACAAATCCGGCGTAATCTCTACGACAATTGCTTGTTGGTGGTATGCTATGCTAATGGAGGCGTTAGTCATCTCTTTGTCAGTAATACTGCGTGTAGAAAGCGGTCTAATCAACGGCAATTTCGAACGTAACAAAGTGGGTGGGTTGGAAATATTAACCTTATTAAATATTACTGGTGTTTCTCACGCAATTCACTACTTCCGCCAAGGAATTTCATTCAGAAAAACTCATTTTCAGCAAAGTGAAAGACTCAAAAACTTTACAGATGTCAATGTCAACGAAGATATTGTCGTGAAAGGTCAAAACCGTGGAGGTTTTTTCTAAATTCAACAGCAGCGACCCATCTTCATCTAAGTTATTGTTATAGAAAATTCTATTATGAGTCAACTTAAATTCTTGCTAAATTCATAGTTGCGAACAACTTTTTATTAAAAACAATCGTGTAAACTGCAAGTTTTTGAAAATGTGATCCCTCTCTCTCGGGTTCACTCTATTAAAAATTTGCATGATTTATATCAAATTTGAAAATAAAATTATCGAAAAAAAAACTGCAAACAATGAGCTTTTTGCGTAGAATTTAGTACAAAAAAATAATACAACATAAAAAAAACAACTAAAAATTGAAACGTACTTTAGACAAGAGGTTTTTCAAAATGTGGTCCACCTCTCCTGGACTTTATTAGAAATTTGTAAGATTTATATCGAAACAAGTTTATCAAAAAAAACTGGAAAAGAATACATTTTACGTCAAATTTAGTACAAAAAAAATTCAAAATGTGGTCCATCTCTCCCGGACTTACTCTATTAGAAATTTTTTAGAATTATATCGACTTGAAAAGCAGAACTGGCGAAAAAATAAGCTTTTTGCGTCAAATTTTGTACAAAAAATTGTGCTTCAAGAGTTACAAAAATTGAAAATTGAGATGGGCTTGACCTTTAGACAATAGGTTTTTCAAAATGTGGTCCATTTCTCCAGGACTTATCCTAGGTATTAGAAATTTTCTTGATTTAAATCAATTTGGGAAAAAAATTATCGAAAAAACTGCAAGAAATTGCGTAAAATGTGAGTTAGCACAAAAAATAGTC